CGAGTACTTGGGTCCCTATCACCCACATGGGAGACCCTGATGGAGTTCCTGGCTCCTGGCTTCAGCCTGGCCTATGCTTTGTTGTTGTGTACATTTTGGGAGGATGGGAGATCTCTCTCTCTCCCTCACTTGCTTTGCCCCCTCTATATCCCTCCTTTCACCCATCCTTCCTTCTTCCTGCCTCTCTTTCACTCTGCCTATCAGATAAATAAACATAAAAATCTTCTAAAAAGAAAGAAAATAAAACAGGATAATGGTAGGGTAAGGGTTTGGCCTAGCAGTTAAATCACAAGTGAAGATTCCTTCGTGCCTTATCAGATCTGGCTCCAGTTCCTGACTCCCAACTTCCTGCTAATGCAGACTTTAGGAGATAGTGGTGATGGCCTATGGGCACTGGGCTCACTGCCACCCATGTGGGAGACCTGGATAATGTTCTCTGTTGCTCTTGTGAACATCTGGGGGAGTGACCCAGAGGATGGGAGTTCTCTGTCAGTCTCTTGAGAAAGTAAACATGCAGGGTAATGGGCTATAAAGTGAAGGGCAGAATGGTTACTTTACCCAGGTGGTTGGGAAAAGCCTCTCTCAGAGGTGACATTTACACTGATACATGAATATTGATGAGAGAATTCTGGGATGGTGGGGGAAAGGACGGCAGGCAGAAGTTTCTAGGAAAGCAGAAATAAAAATGCAAAGGCTTGGTTTACTCTCTTCCTACCATCCCTTCTGAATTCTGACCACAGAGTTTAAATCGAGGTGAGGAAAATTTCTCCCTGCAGCAGTTGGGGACCTTAATCGAAGTTCAAACTGTACATAGGTAGTAAGCTCCCTTGAGTTAGTCTGACATAACCCATTTCTCTTGAGTTAGTCTGACATAACCCATTTTTTTTTTTTCCTGTGGATCAGCACAAGTCCACATTCTGGCTCAGGATTCAGTGAATGTTAACCAGATATAATGTTTAGAAGGTGTTGATCATGGGACTGGGATAAAGAAACCCAGATTTGCTGTCCTACCGAGTCATAAGAAACGGGGCATATTTACATTCTGAATCATGTTTTTAAACCGGCAGAGAGCTTGCATGCAAAGACTATTTGTGGACAACAGATGGCAGACCACACCCACAACTAGTGGGCAACCTCTCTGTAAAACCTCATGAATTTGGGGAAAAGAAATGGGCTCCAAGTTCTTGCACCACAGTGATTAGACCTGCTGAAGAGCACCACAAAGGTATTTGCAATTTTTGGAACAGTTGGAAGTTTGGATATGCAGTCAGACCCTGATTGCCAGGTATTAGTCAGCCATGGATGGAAAATGTTCAGGAGGAAATAACTGGGGCCTCATGAAACAGACTTTTCCCTCTAGTCATTACTCCTTAAACAATATCATTCATCAACTATTTACATATCATTTACATTGCTATTTAAAGTACAGGGGAAGGCTGTGTAGGTTATATGCAAAAACTATGCTACTTCATATAAGGGATTTGAGCATCCATGAGGTGAGGATACCAAGGAATGACTGAAGTCACCGCCTCTCAAAAACAGGTCATTGAAGTTCTGGGTCCTGTGAAATATTATTTTAGTGACTAAAATACCCCAGACTCAGTCTCATTTGATGAAAATTACCCTATGTGGTTCTTATAGCCACTGACACTTGTCTGTGATTAAGACTTTTGAAGGGCCAGTGCTGTAGCCTAGCAGATAAGGCCACTTCCTGCAATGCTAGTATCCCATATGAGTGCCAGTTCGAGTCCTGGTTGCTCTACTTCCAATCCAGATTCCTGCTAATGTGCCTGGGAAATCAGCAGAAGATGGCCCAAGTGCTTGGTCCCCTGCACCCACCTGGATAAATCTCCTGGCTCCTGGCTTTGGCCTGGCCCAGCCCTGGCCATTGCAGCCATTAGGGGAGTGAACCAGTGGATGGAAGGTTTTCCACATGGGTACAGGGGTCCAAGGACTTGGGCCATCTTCTACTGCCTTCCCAGGCCTTAGCAGAGAGCTGGATTAGAAGTGGATCAGCCAGGACTCAAACAGGTGCACATATGGGATGCCGGCACTGTAGGCGGCAGCTTTACCTGTTATGCCACAGCACCAGCCCTGGAAATCTTTCAGAAGTACAGAGAGATGAGAGAGATCCACTGGATCACTCCTCAAATGGCTGCAATGGCCAGGGCTGGACCAAGCCGAAGCCAGGAGCCAAGGAGTCTCCCATGTGGGTGCAGGGGCCCAAGCACATGGACCATCCTCTGCTGTTCTCCCAGGGGCATCTGCAGAGAGCTGGATTGGAAGTAGAGCATCTGGGACCTGAACCAGTACCCACATGGAATGCTGGCATTGCAGGTGGAGGCCTAACCCTCTAACCACAGTGCCAGCCCCACTGCACACTTTCTTGATTACTGTATCTTTATATTGGGTCTTAAAATCAGATAGTGTGATTTATTAAAATATAATTTTCCAAAAAAGATAATTTGATGTCATTCTAAGGAAACTAGCCTGAATCTTTAGGCTGGTAGATGACTGATGTCACCAAGTCATGCCATTTATAAAAATATATATAAAGTTTTATTTATTTGTATTTATTTGAAAGGCAAAGAGATAAAAAAAAGAGAGAAGGAGAGAGATCTTCCATCTGCTGATTCACTCCCCAAATATCCATAATAGCCAGGCCTGGGCCAGGTTGAAACCAAGAGCTAGAAACCCCACCCATGTCACTCATGTGGGTGGCAGAGACCCAGGTACTTGGGCCATCACCTGCCACCTACCAGTAAATGCATTAGCAGAAAGCTGGGTGGAAATTGAGGCAGGACCCAAACCCAGACACTGCAATGTGGATTGCAGGCATCCCAAGCAGTAGCTTAACCACTACACCACCACAACCACCCCAAAAATGGAGGGTACTTTTTGAGGATTTTTACCACACCCCCTCTTTTTTTTTTTTTTGAAGATTTTACTGCCTATTCTTACTACAGAGGTAAATGCACCAGTTCCTTCACTCCAGAAAGTACTCTAGACTTAAAGGAACACCCCTCTCCCCCGCCACATGTACCCACTTTCAAAAATCGTCCTGAATTTTTAAGATTTATTTTATATTTATTTGAAAGTCAGAGTTACAGTGGGGGAGAGAGAGAGAAAATACAGTATCTTCCATCTGCTGGTTTTTTTTTTTTTTTTTTAAATAAAGGACCATTAACTTTCACTCAGCTCTCTGCCTTATTCCAACGAAAAGATAGCCATCAAGTGAATCTCAAAGAAAAAAAAAAAAAAAAAAAAGGCTTCCGGAACTAGCACTGTGGTGCAATGGGGAAAGCTGCTGCCTGCAGTGCAGGCATCTCCTATGGGTGCCGGCTGTTCCACTTCTGATCTTGCTCCCTGCTAATGTGTCTTGGAAAGCAGTGGAATGTGGCCCACGTCGTTAGGCCTCTGAACCACCGTGGGAGATCCGGAAGAATTTGCTGGCTTCTTCAGATCAGCACAGCTCTGGTAGTTGCAGTCATCTGGGGAGTGAACCAGTAGATGAAAGACCTCTCTCTCTGTAATTCTGCCTTTCAAACAAATTAAATAAATCTTTTTAAAAAATCTTCCACAGGCATATAATTAGGCAATACAGCATCATACCTTAAAAAATAAAGGACGGTTGTTGAACAATGAGTTGGTATTCATTTCTGTCATATACAATTGGTTCTCAAAACTAGGTTTGTCTCAGCCGGCGCCGTGGCTCAATAGGCTAATCCTCCACCTTGCGGCGCCGGCACACCGGGTTCTAGTCCCGGTTGGGGCGCCGGATTCTGTCCCGGTTGCCCCTCTTCCAGGCCAGCTCTCTGCTATGGCCAGGGAGTGCAGTGGAGGATGGCCCAGGTGCTTGGGCCCTGCACCCCATGGGAGACCAGGAAAAGCACCTGGCTCCTGGCTCCTGCCAGGATCAGCGCGGTGCGCCGGCTGCAGCGGCGGCCATTGGAGGGTGAACCAACGGCAAAGGAAGACCTTTCTCTCTCTGTCTCTCTCTCTCACTGTCCACTCTGCCTGTCAAAAAAAAAAAAAAAAAAAACTAGGTTTGTCTCATGAAAATGAAAAAATGTAATTTCAATTAATCTAAAATAAGTAGCTATTTAATAATGACAGTTTAATTAATGAACATACAGTAATGAGTAAATAGAGTGTATTTTACTAGCCCATTTATCTATTCTGTAACCAAATTTCACTGAAATACATTAAAATTCAAAAGGCATCCTCTTTTTAAACTTCCACCAGTTTTGTGTGTGTGTGTGTGTGTGTGTGTGTCAAAATGATAAAATCAACCAGTATAATAATTTTGAGTTGTATCTTCCTGTCTTATAGTAGTACACTATATTACTACAAAATTACTCGAGGACTCACTTTTTTTTTTTAATTTTTTTTTGACAGGCAGAGTGGACAGTGAGAGAGAGAGACAGAGAGAAAGGTCCTCCTTTTCCATTGGTTCACCCTCCAATGGCCGCTGCAGCAGGCGCACCGCGCTGATCTGAAGCCAGGAGCCAGGTGCTTCTCCTGGTCTCCCATGGGGTGCAGGGCCCAAGCACTTGGGGCATCCTCCACTGCACTCCCGGGCCACAGCAGAGAGCTGGACTGGAAGATGAGCAACCCGGACAGAATCCGGCACCCCGACCGGGACTAGAACCCTGTGTGCCGGCGCTGCAGGTGGAGGATTAGCCTATTGAGCCGCGGCGCCAGCCTCAAGGACTCACTTTGTTTTATTCATTGTATTTGGGAATATGAGATTTTCTGTTGCCCACATATGTCTGAAAGCAGATTTCTATTTGTTATTATGTATTTAGGGAGATTCTTTTTCCTTTTAAAATGCAATCTGTATTGTTCAAAATGAAAAATAAATTCAGTGTTGGAAAATAAGGAACCAGTTTTAGACTCCAGACCTCCTAACACTGAATGGTGGACGACCCAGCAGATTCCTTCTTCACGTTCCCTAAAAGGCAGTGTGGACTGTGATTAATTGCATTTATTTCCTCTCTGCTCCAGGAGAATTATACTAGTTACAATACTAGCTACCTCTGCACTAGGTTTGTATATGTCATCTCACTGAATTGACACAACAATCTTATGAATTAACTGTCACGAGTAGATCTGTTCACTACTACCAGAAACTTGGAATTCTGCAGTTCAGTTCCAGCTTGGACATCCTGGCCAGCACATTGCACAGCCCAAGGTCCTCACCCTTGCTTTGCTTCCAGGAAGCCTGACTTGCTGACAACTGCTTTCCTGCATCATCTGTTGGCCTCTCTGATAACAGCAGTGATGTTTTCGGTCTCCTATGCTGCCCAGTTTCTGCCATTATCCTGTAAATGTTTAATGATCTTGTAGAGAATCCATCAATGACTAAATTTTCACCCCTATCCAGTTACCCATTGACTAGGACACACTTTACCGCTGGAAGTTTGATGTATCTTGGAAATCAAAGTCTAAACTTCCAGTTACAGATCCAACATTCCATTCTTCTAGCTCATTCATGCCCCAATCCCATTTAATCTCGCACAATTTCTGATTGCCTCTGCGTTTCCATTTTTTCCTTTTGTGTCAGCTTCACAGTGCTCCCATCTCTTTTTACCCTGGCTGGCTTGACATTCACAGTTCATCACCTGATCTTCTGAGTAACAGCCTTGCCTTGCTCTATCTTGGAGTCTTTCTTGAGTTAGCTGCTTATTCTCCAAACCCAGTGAATCTAGTCCTGTCCAGTCCCCTCCCTTTCTTTCTCTGAAATTATTTTTACACTCTTAGGCTCCATTAGCTTGTCATTACACTGATTCTTTCTCTTTTTTTAAGATTTATTTGTTTATTTATTTGAAAGTCAGAGTTACACAAAGAGAGAAGGAGAGGCAGAGAGAGAAAGAGGTCTTCCATCCGCTGGTTCACTCCCCAATTGGGTGCAATGGCTGGAACTGCACCGATCCGAAGCCAGGAACCAGGAGCTTCTTCCAGGTCTCCCACACAGGTGCAGGGGTCCAAGGACTTAGGCCATCTTCCACTGCTTTCCCAGGCCATAGCAGAGAGTTGGATCGGAAGTGGAGCGGCCGGACTTGAACTGGCACCCATATGGGATGGCGACACTGCAGGTGGCAGCTTTACCCGCTACGCCATAGCGCTGGCCCCTACACTGATTCTTGCTTAATCCTTCCAAATCATTCAAAGTGCTTTGTGGAGGGTTGCTGATGTTGGTCCAACTCCCAAACCTAAATCACACAAAAGTCCTTCATTTCTTGGATGGCTCTGCTGCATTTCAGAACTTTCAGTAAGGGTTCCATCTTATATTTTCTTTGCTGTGGAGTATCCTTTCCAGGCTTCCTATTGGATGGCTGACCTTTTTCTAATTAATTTACAGTAGCTCCTTATCTGTGAATGAAAGCAAAAAAGCCCTTTCCTTTATGTTGCCATTTTTTCTTTGTCATTTGTCTTATCTATTTTCTTGGTATAATATATAAAAAATTATTTTGTGGTAGAGATAGAGATAATCTTTCTAAATCACTGGCTAGTTCCTTAACCTGGTCTTTTCTTCACTGAAATACTACCTTTATTACATACTATATTCACTACTATATGTCTTATAAACGCATTTAAGTATATTTCTGAAATTTATATTCTTCTCCCTTCATTGGTTTGTTTATTCCTGGACCTGAAAAAAAACTCATATAATTCCCATGGACTTACAAAAATCACCAGTGTAATATACATACTGTTTTTAGACCATTATGCCTTTGGTAGACACATAATTATTTTCAGAAATAAAAACATAAATCTCTTATTTTCTTGATCCATCGTAGCACATCTTTTGTATTCTTTTAAGTTTCCATAAATGACACAACATGTCATAAAAACTTAGTTACTTCCCTTGCCTCAGTTTCTCCATTTTGGGGAAAGAGATGAATTAATTCATTTTCAACCCTTAGAATAAGTTCCTGGTAAGTATTCAGTGTTAGTTATTTTTATTATTTTTTTTGACAGGCAGAGTGGACCGTGAGAGAGAGACACAGAGAGAAAGGTCTTCCTTTGCCTTTGGTTCACCCTCCAATGGCCACCGCAGCCGGAGCGCTGCGGCCGGCGCACCGCGCTGGTCCGATGGCAGGAGCCAGGGACTTATCCTGGTCTCCCATGGGGTGCAGGGCCCAAGTATTTGGGCCATCCTCCACTGCACTCCCTGGCCACAGCAGAGAGCTGGCCTGGAAGAGGGGCAACCAGGACAGAATCCGGCGCCCCGACCAGGACTAGAACCCAGTGTGCCGGCGCCACAAGGCAGAGGATTAGCCTAGTGAGCCGCAGCGCCGGCCCGGTGTTAGTTATTATTAAAAAGATAATTAAATTAGAGCTCCTTTCATCTTCATCCACTTTGTCTTCCTTTGACAGACTACCTGACACTGAGTAGCATACAAAGAGAAGATTGTTTTGACTTACGATTCTGGTGGCTGGAAAGTGCAAACACATGATGCTGGCATCTGTTGAGAGCCCATGGGCTGCGTCACAATGTGGCAAAGAAGCAGCAGGAACCAAGGCAGGTGGTCTGGTTTATAACAATCCTCTCTCACAAGAATGAAACTGGTTCTGAATTAACTATCTCACTCCTTTCCAAAGGTGGTGCCCCTGAGCTAATTACCTTCTGCTAGGCTCCACCTCTTAAGGATGCACCAACTCTCAGCGCGGCCACACTCGGGACAAAGCTTCCAGCACATGAACCTTCTGGGCTCTCTCAAACCCAACCCAAGCCCAGCACTTGTCTTCCCTCTACCTCTTTTCTATCTGCACTGTCTCCCCAGCTCACAGCCTTTGGTCAGCTTTTATCATCTCTATAACTACAATTAATCCCCTTATACTTTGGACATTATTTGAATTTAGAATTGAGGATATGGGGGCAGGCATTTAACCTGCTGGTTAAGATGCCAGTTAAGATACCCTCATCCTATATCAGAGTGTCTGGACCCAACATATGGCTCTGGCTTCTGGTTGTAGTGTCCCTGCTAATGTGGACTCTGAGAGGCAGCAGCGATGGCTCAAGTAACTGGGTAGGTAGTTGTGGCACTCATGTGGGAGACCTGGATTTAGTCCCAGCTTTTTGGGCATTTGGGGAGTGATCCAGTGAATGGGCACTCCCTCCCTCTCTCTCTTTCTCTCTGATACACAAAATAAAATAAAATAATAAAATATATCAACACATAATATTTCCATTATTGTAATTGTGCTAACATTGTTCACTATTCCATGATTTTGTATTTTTTTGTCATATGCCCTCATTAACTCATTATCTTCTTTAAATATATCCCATCTGTGGTAAGGATGTGGTTATGAAAGATGTATTTCTCAGAAACGTCTTTCCAACTGCAACCTGGACCAGCTGCACTCCGGGCTGGGTGCCAGCTTGTCATTCTGGGTTCCTCTCAACCTGGTCCTGGCTGTTTTGGATTTTAATCTTATTTTGACTGGGGAACATATTCAAGTAATTTTCTTGAAAGAGTGAATGAGAAATAAGCTTTCTGAATTTTCACGTGTCTGAAAGTGGCTGTAGTTTCCTTCTCTGTTGATTGACACTTTTTTATTGAGTATAGAATGTTAGGTTAATGACTGTCTCAGAAAGCTGAAGTTAGGGCATCCAGGGATTCTAACAAGAAATTACATCCTTTCTCCTTTGTGGGACATAGTTTCCCTGCTCTGGAATCTTTTAGGATGGTATTCGCACCCAAACAGTTCTGAAGTTTGTTGAGAATTTTTCACTATTTTGGTCTATATTTTTTCATATTTTCTCTTTTGGTAATGGTTACATGAGTGTATACAACTATCAAAAGTCATAAAAAGTGTAGCATGTTGAGGGTCTGGCATTGTGGCACCCAGCAGGTTAAGCCACCACAGGCATCCCATAGGAGTTCCCATTCAAGTCTTGGCTATTCCACTTCCCCTCCAGCTCCCTGCTAATACATCTGGGAAAGTTGTGGAAGATGGGCTGAGTACTTGGACCCCTGCCAACCATGTGAGAAACTCAGATGGAATTCTAGGTTCCTGGTTTAGCTTGGCCCAGCCCAAGACAACTGTGGCCATTTGGGGAGTGAACCAGCTGATGGAAGACCTCTCTCTCTCTCTCTCTCTCTGCTTGTCAAGTAAATAAATATTTTTAAAAAATATGGCATGTGAATTGAATTGTACATTTAGGAAGCAATTCTGTAGGGCTTAACACCTGTGGTCTAGCACTCAGAATTGGATTACACCATTATGTACAGTTTCCTAGTTGTTTTATGAGTTTGTATGTTTAATGTTTTCATCTTCATCCAAAGCAAGAATTCTTTTGGGCCATGGAACCCTCTGGGCTTTCTGATGCAGCGTATAGACCTCTTTCCACAATAATGTTTAAAAATGTTGAAAATAAAATCTATAGGATTATAAAAAGTCAATTAAATTGAAATAGTCCCCAATTTTTTAAAAAGTACCAAAATTGTGATGGAGTAATATGTTGCTTCTTTATTATCATTTTATTTAACAAGATCCAGTGGAGGGTTGATAGCCTCTCTGCTTTCAAAGCTGTGATGAGTGTATCTCAAGTTACAGATAGCAGCACAATGTGCTGTGACAGTATCTGTTATTTGTGAGTAGCACAGTCACTAGTGTTGCTAAAACTCCTATAGTTTTCATCTACATTTATATCAGACATGCTAAAGTTCAGTTAGAGATTAGGGAAAATGAAAATAGTTTTTTTCCTTCTGAGTTCTTACATCTCCTGAATTTACCCGTATCCCTGACATGGGGTGGGAGCAATTTAAGGGGTGGCAGATTGTGGCTTCTGAAGACGGAGGCATCATCCCCACATGCACTTTCACTTCAAGGCCCTGACACTCCAGCCTAGAGAGGGGAAGTCTGTCTCTCCACCCCTTGAGTTAGCCGGGCTGTGACCAGCAAAATGTGCTGGATGTGTTACTGCCCTGGTTCTGAGGATGGCCCTTGCCTCATCTGTCAGCCTCTGCTTCTTTCCTCATAGAAACAAGACAGCACATACAAAGGACAATTACCCTGATGCCATGGCTCTGTGAAAAGAACAAGCCATGTGAAGGGCCCTGGACTGTGAAACACCATGTGGAAAGTAAAGGCAGCCAAGGAGCATCCAGGTGCCAGACACTTGGCCAAACAGGAATACTGTTTACCTGAATAAAGTACAGAAAAAGGATTCACTTTCAATAAGAAACATCACTCCTGATATCATCAAAATACAATGATATTATACTTGGATTGCACTCACTCATCTTAGAAGTCATTTTTTTTTCAAGGCACTAACATTGCAAAAGTGCGAAAAAATTACGACAAAAGAAAATAAAGGGGCCCCAAGTCAACCTGCAACTTCTGATACTGGCATCCCACAACAGAGTACTGATTAGAGTGCTGGCTCGAGCCCTGGCTGCTCTGTTTCTGATCCAGGTCCCTGAGAATGCACCCAGGAAAACAAAGGAATATGGCCCGAGTACACGGGCCCCTGCCACTCAAGGGGGACCTAGGTGGAGCTCTAGGATCCTGGCCGCAACCTGGCCCAGCCCTGGTTATTGTAGCCATTTGGGGAGTGAACCAGAGAATGGAAGATCTCTATCTCTCCCTCTGTCTTTCATTCTCACTCTGTCACTCTGTGTTTCAAACAGATAAATAAATTTTTTAAAAAATGAAATAAGAATGAGGTATAATTTTCTGTGAGAATCTTATCAGGCTCTTCCTCAAAAGAAGGCAGAGTGGTTCATTGGTTTAAAAGTACAACCTCTTTCTCTCTGCCTCTCCTCTCTCTATGTAACTCTTCCAAATAAATAAATAAATCTTTAATAAAAGAAAACTACAACCTCTAGAAGCTTGAGTTGGATCCCATACTTCTACCTTCCAGCTCTGAGACAACAGGTAAATTATGTTAGCCTCAGTCCTGGCATCTGTAAAACCAGCAGATGTTACTCTAAGTTCCTGGCTCACAGGATTAGTACTACTCAGTGCTATATAAAGGCCTGTAAACGAGCAAAAGAAGCAAAGTTTACTTGTGGGTCACAGGATGTTTTCTGAAATACGGGTATTCCAAGTTCACAAATTACCACCCCTGTGGGTACTTTTTCAGATTTTAATGGAGAATGACTTAGGTATTATCTATAGGCAACATTTATATTATGAAAGTAATAAGGGCCAATGCTTTGGTATAGTGAGTTAAAGTCCCGGCCTACAGCACTGGCATCCCATATGGGCATCAGTTCAAGTCCTGGCTGTTCCACTTTCAATCCAGCTCTCTGCTAGTGTGCCTGAGAAAGCAGTGGGAGATGGCCCAAGTCCTTGGGCCCCTGCACCCATGTGAGCAATCTGGAAGAAACTCTAGGCTCCTGGCTTTGGATCTGCCTAGC